GGAACCATACTATGCTCATGGATAGGAAGAATCAATATCGTGAAAATGGCCATACTGCCCAAGGTATTTATAGATTCAATGCCATCCCCATCAAGCTACCAATGACTTTCTTCACAGAATTGGAAAAAAACTGCTTAAGTTCACATGGAACCCAAAAAGAGCCGCATCTCCAGGACAATCCTAGTCAAAGAACAAGCTGGAGGCATCAACGCTACCTGACTTCAAACTATACTACAAGGCTACAGTAACAAAACAGGCATGTATTGGTACCAAAACAAGAGTATAGACCAATGGAACAGAACAGAGTCCTCAGAAATAATACCCACATCTACAGCATCTGATCTTTGACAAACCTGAGAAAACAAGAATGGAAAGGATTCCTTATTTAATAAATGGTGGCTGGGAAAATTGGCTAGCCATAAGTAGAAAGCTGAACTGGATCCTTTCCTTACTCCTTATACGAAAATTAATTTCAAGATGGATTAGAGACTAAATGTTAGAACTAATACATAAAACCCTAGAAGAAAACCTAGGTAGTACCATTCAGGACATAGGCATGGGCAAGAATTCATGTCTTAAAACACCAAAAGGCAACGGCAACAAAGCCAAATTGACAAATGGGATACTACATTAAACAAAGAGCTTCCTGCACAGCAAAAGAAACTACCATTCAGAGTGAACCAGGCAACCTACAAAAGAAATGGGGAAATTTTTGCAATCTACTATACAAAAGGCTAATTATCAGAAACTCAAAGAACGTCAAACACATTACAAGAAAAAAATCGAAACACCCCATCAAAAAAGTGGCAAAGGATATGAACAGACATTTCTCAAAGAGGACATTCCAGTTACAGCCAACAGACACATGAAAAAATGGCTCATCCCTGGCCATCGGGAGAAATGCAAATAAAACCCACCAATGAGATACCATCTCACACCTGTTTAGAATGGCAATTCATTAAAAGTCAGAAACACAGTGCTGGAGAGGATGTGGAGAAATAGGGAACCTTTTACACTGTTGTGGATTGTTAAACTAAGTTCAACCATTATGAAAAAAGGCATGGGCGATTCCTCAAGGATCTAGGAACTAGAAGGTACCATATGACCCAGCTATGCCCATTACTGGTATGTACCAAAGGATTATAATCATGCTGCTATAAGACACATGTCCACGGTATGGTTTATGTGGCACTAATTCACAATGCAAAGACTTGGGAATAACAATGGGTCATCAGTGACCAGGACTGGATTAAGAAAATGTGGACACTAAGACACCGTGGAATACTATGCATCCATTAAAAAGGATGAGTTTGTGTCCTTTGTTAGACTGGATGCAGCTGGAAACCAATCAGTTCTCAGCAAACTAATGGAGAACAAAACCAAACCACCGCATGTCTTCGACTCATAGGTGGGAAACTGAACAATGGAGATCACTTGGATTCGGGAAGGGACATCACATCCCAGACCGGGGCCTATCATAGGAGTGGGGAGGG